ACAGGAATGAGCTGACATCGTCATAGTCATTTGTTCTGAATTTTAGGACAGAGGAAATTAGGTCTTCTGGTAAAATATTTGCAAAATAGAAATTTTCAGGGTCAAATGAAGTTTTAGGAATACAGCATGAGGAGAATTTAACCATGGATTTTGATTTGATTTAACCAAGGAGAGGTTTTTAAGGATTTTCCATCTGGACTTAAGATCTGATGCTTGTGATAAGGAAGTATGAAAGAACTGTGCCTTAGCATGTCATAGGAAAGATTAGGTAAGGTTTTGAAGAGACTTAAAAGAGAAGTAGTCATCCGGATTACATGTTCGTCTAAAACGCCGCCTTGCAGCTTCTCTTCTCTTCATCAACTCTCTGATTCCAGGATTAATCCAGGGAGCAGCAGGGCGTCTGAAGGTAGTTGTCTTTAATGGTGCATGTTTATTCAGAGATAGAAGTAGATTGGAGGAAAGACATTCCACCATTTTATCAATGGAGGAATAGGAATAGATGGGATCTGAGGATTGGGCTAGTGGTTCGAGGGTTTAGTTTTTCAGAGGTCAATGAGCCTAGATCCCGCAATGTGATTTTCTTAGGAATGAGCTTAGGAGTTGGGACGATATAGGAAATATTGAAGAGATCATGATATGATTGAAAGGAGACCGGATTCTGAGAGGGAGATGATAAATTTTGAGAGGAATCAATTATAAAAAGATCGAGCCATTTACTCGTGAACTAAATATGGTGAGTGGGTTAAAAGGGAAAGATAAATAGGTCAAGGGAATGGATTAGGTCTACAAGGTACGATTTGTCGGGAGAGTTGGAGCACAAGTTGGTGTAGAAGTCACCTATTATTACAACATTATTGTATTAAGGAGTATAGGTAAAAAGGGACGATTCTAAGGCAGGATCAAATCGGACTTGAGGAGGACGATATGTAATGACGTAGAGGAGGGAAAAAGAATCTGAGGATATTTCTACAAATAAATATTCTAAATGAGGAGTGTAGGGGGAGGGATACTTGTGAAGGATTTTCGTCCTCACACTTTCATGATCATAAAGACCAACAACACAAACTGTTTGGTCCATTTGATCATGACGAATGAGGAAGTAGTTAGGGATAGATATAGAGGAAGAGGGAACATTTGGTTTTAGCCAGATTTCCGAGACGGCAATAATGTAATAAAAATTATGGAAGAAATAATCAAGGAATTCATCAATATTAAGCTGTATTGGGATAATCCAGTACTTACAGATCACACCATTCTTCACAATAGGCCAGACATTCTTATAATAGACAAAGGTAAACTACACAATCTGCATTCATCATAGAGATTGGCGTTCCGTTGAAAACGAAAAAATGAATTTCATTGGTGATCTGTGGTCTAAAATCTATTAAATAAAAACTTAAAAATGTTATTTTTTACAGATCACTAACTTATATGGGCAACTAGTAGCCACAAAACTGCTCTGCAGCAGTATCCAAGCAAGATTCTAGAGCATTTAAGATATTGGTGTGAAGCTAATAAAACGATTCTCAATACATCAAAAACAGAATTTCAACTAATCATCCTAGGGATGGTTCTAGAAGGTACAACCAAATCTATTCTAACCAGAGTGGGAGGGTCAAGATTCATTCTTTGGTTCTGTCACAAAATAAATTTTAACCTGCCTAGGCCATTAACAGCAACGCAACTATAAAAACCAAGAAGAACCATAAGCTCCTATATATATATATATATATATATATATATATATAACCTCTCGATCAACTACTGGTCAAATATCCAAAAAGAGTCATAACGCAAGTCACATTTATAGAAAAAGCAAAGGAACTTACAGATAAAACAAAATTGTCTCCTGCTCAAAGAGAACCACTCCCTTTAATACCGCAAAAAATCCCAGTGAAAGCAGCATCATATAACATCAACCTTATTAGATCCATTAAAAATAAAGATACAATTCCTGAGGAATTAAGATCATTGGCTCTGGAAACAATAACTAAATGCTATCGCAACCCTCTCTGGATTCTGCTGAACAAGTGGTGCACAATGGAGGGGTAGGCACACATTCATTGCTTTGCCATTTCGAAAACAGTCACAAATGGAATAAAAATTTTGATAGTAAAATTAATGCAATTTTGTGAGTGTTTTAAGCCTAACACAAATGTTCAAAACATGGCAATATTGATAGATATCCAAGCAACTACTCTCACTTTAGCCAAACCCAATAAATCATATGCTGAGAATAATTTATATTGTCAATATATCATTGAAGTATTGCCTCTTCATGGCAGAGAGATAATCTTTCAATGGATACCATGCCATTCTGGCCTCCACGGAAATAAATGGTGGAAACTGAAGAGAGGCATAATTAAAAAAAAAAAATTATTGACAAATAGAAACAGAAGTATTTTTTTCTATAGTATATAGTGTGGCATAGCTATTGATTATTATGAAAGAAAATCACATCAAAGACAAGAAGTGTGAATGGCAATAATTATAATGAAGAACATTTTTCATTAATAATCAACATTATTTCATGATTAAATTTGAAAGGCTTGATAGAAGTGAAAAATTCATAATAATTATAATTAAATCAGAAAATATCTTAGGTAAAAAAATTATTAACCAATGTTGAGAAGAAAATTATTTTTCTGACACCTTTAAAATGTAGATTTTTTTCACCTTTCAACCACTGTGTGACATTTTACACCCTGAATTTGAGATTTCTAGAGGTTTTAGGGCATTTTAAAACAAGAGAAGAAAGCTCAGCTCTGTTTTCTATTGATATGACCGGTCGATCTCTGTAAGTTCATCATTTAGTGAGGTTATTGTAAAACTGAGGTATTTGAATTTGTCAACTTTCACGAATGACTTGGCATCCTTGCATATTCTATTGTTAAGGTGAATTTTTCACCTAGTATATATTTTGTTTTATCTTCATTCCCAGTAGATCAATTAGCTCTGCTTCTCTTATCAGAGTCTGGGAGTCTTTCAATATCCTCTTGAATGATTCGGAGAACGACTATATCATTCAACAATGCTACAATTTTGTTTCATTTCTGTGTACACTCCTCCATGTTAGCATTATCCTGTTATCTCTGGTTAAGAGTTGAACAGTACTGGGAAGAGTCCATCTCCCTGTCTCAAATCAGTTTGAATTTCAAAGGAATCAAATACTTCTGCTTCTATCAAGACTCTGCATTTAGGATCATTTAGACATGTCTTCCTCTCAACTTCACTAACCTTCCAGGAATACCCAGCTCATTCATGATCTTCCAGAGACAATTTCTACCCACCATGTCATAGGATGCTTTGAAGTCAACCAATAAAGCATGTACATCGTGATCTACTTCGCTTTGTTTCTCAATTACCTGTTTTATGATGAAGATCTGGTCTTGCGCACTCCTTCCATTCGTAAATCCTGTTTGGCCTATATTGTTATTTCTCACTTTAGATCTTAACCTTTCATTCCTGAAGTCTACATAGAATTTACATATATGGTATTTCCAGCATGCTAATTTTTTTGATAGTTTACAGTCTTTCTTTGAATAAATCTTATTTTTGTTCTTATTATTTTGTCTGTCTTATTCCTGGTACTTGTGTATTTGTTCAGATTAACTTGATCAGTTTTAGCTATACAGAGGGCTTTTACTTTTCTTCTATCCTCCAACACCTTTTCACTTGCTTCGGTGAACCACATCTTAAGTTTTCTTTTCTTCAAAATCCCTATTTCTTCCTTAGTTGTTTCTTTTAAAGCTGTCCAGAGAGAACTCTTCCTTGAAAGAAGAATATTTTAATCAGTGATGTTCCACTGTGAGGCCCTCCAAATCCAAGGGTTCAAATTTATTTTTCATCTCTATTTGGAATTTTTCTAGTACTTTAGAGTTTTTTGAATTACAGACTTTATACGTCTTTCTTTCCAATAGTTTGATTCTGATCACAATGTGGTCTGAATTACATTCTGTTTTGTTTTGTATTACATCTTATGTTTTGTTTTGAGCTTTAATGTCTCTTATAAATGAACACACGGTCAATTTGACTTTTCTCACCTTCAGGACTTTACCTTGGTGGACTTGTGAATATACCTTTTTGGTAATCTCTTGGATGTCATTGAAGTCTCCCATGACTAATTTTAAGTCATATTTTTGAGCCTTGTACACAACTTATCATAAACCATTCTTCACCTCGTCATCTATTTCTTTGGTTGGTGCATATACAATAACTATAAGATGTGACTTCTAATGTGCAGTACCCTTATCTTCTCATTAACTAGGATGAAGCTTATAACTTCTAGCAGCTGGACAATCTATAAGTTGAATGCCACTATCCCATTTGAGTTGTTTCTTCCGGTGTAGACCATTGTATCACCGTTAGCAGTATGTTGTATCTTTTTACTCCATTCATTGCCATTTGGGTAGCCCCTGGTTTTTGCATTTCAGTATCCAATTTGAAGATCATTATACAAACCTGATCATTTGTACCATGATTGTCAGATTTTCCGAGGCTAGTTTTAGGTGTCACAATTTGATATTTTTTGACAGAATAGGGTTATACTTTAAGCCTAATCCCCAAACTGGAGGTCCAGGAGCTGTCAGACATAGGAGAGCTCACCTCCATGTTCCTCTCAGAGAAAGGACATTAACGTCTCCATGTGGGAATTGAAACCCACATAGGCATGAATACTTTGGTAGTGTGGTCTTATTATTTGTATTTATTTGCTTATTGTCTTTTTGATTTTACTTATTGTTTGTGGAATCTCGGAACTAGTATCATAACTTTTTGCAGTATAAAATATATTAAGTGATTTGTTGATTAATAACTAAGTATTTAATCTTTTATACTTATATCACTCAACATGTTATCTTTCAGTCAAAACTCTTAAAGGCTGAAAATAATAATTATGAAGACAATTAAAAAGGAGGAACGTTTTATAAGTAAACATTTATCACAAAAATATTTCAATACAAAATTTAAAAAAAAATATATTTCAGAACAAACAATAAGACCTGCTTATACATCTGAAGCCTCTTAATTGAAAGTTGCAATGTGTTGCCATTTGTGGTATCATCTTTTTCTTGTTTTTCCATCGACCTTAGTATGTTACATTCATCAGCTGTGTATTTTTCAGAAACTGACTCAAACCAATGTAAAGAATTGAATTCCTCACTTAAATTAAAAACAGATAAAAGGTATGCAACACCTATAACAAGAAAAAATTACATTAAAAATAAGATAGATGTAAAAAAAAATGATAGATAGGAAATTGTGAACAAACCTATTACGAAACCATCATCAGTAAATAGACCAGAGGTCGAATTTCTTTTACTCATTTTTTCTTTTGCAGCAATAATGTAATTAACAAAATTGATTGTAAGAGGTGGTATAATCATCACGAAAAGTCTCAAATGATCATTTTCTGGTGTATGAAACACAGAATAAAATACTTCAACCAGAAGCTAGAAAAGTTAATGGAAAGTCTAAAATAAATATATAGTACAAAAAATGCAATAAAGTTTAAAAATAGTCTTACTTTAACTATAGAAAATAAGATAATAAAATTAAAAATTTTCATTTAATAATAATAATATAATCTGCCACAATGAATAGCAATAGATATTATGGTTCTATTTGTACATTCATACTATAGATAGATAGATATAAAACTTTATTTCGTATACATTTTACATATTCCTTTTTTTCATTGGCAATGGCATTGAACTGTCTGCCTGGAGTTGCCCTAAAAATACATACAATGAAAAGATATATAAAGGAGGTGACCAGGAGTCTACAGGTTTCAAAAGAAAAAAGGTGACGGAGGTTACTTAAATGTTTTAAGGTGGAAAAGGTACGTCGGGAGATATTGGATACATGTTTTTTCCAGGAAAGGGTTTGATTAAAGATTATTCCAAGATTTTTGATGGTGGGAACAAATTTGATGGGATTATCATGTAGGAACAGGGTTGAAGGAGCTAAGGATGAGCCCTAAGGGACACCACAGGAGAGGGGGAGTGTTTTAGAAGGAGGTTGATCTGGGAAGACTACAAACTAGGATCTGAAAGGAAGGATTTGAACCATCGCAGGACACTGTTGTATAAAGAAAAATTTCGCAATTTAGTAAAAAGGATGTTATGGTCAACTGTATCAAACGCTTTGGGAAAATCTAGAAGGATGATGATAGTAACGTTTTGGTGTTCAATGGAGTTTTGGAGGTCATGGGTTATTTTAAGGAGGGCAGATTGCGTTGAGTAACCCGGTCGAAAGCCAGATTGGAATGGATTCAAGAGAGAATGTTCTTCTAGAAATTTGGAAAGTTGATTTTGGACAAGGCTTTCTAGTGGTTTTAAGAGGTTGGAAAGAAGAGAAATCAGACTGAAGTCGTTCAGTGAGGAAGGGTTCGAAGTTTTATTTGAAGGTCGGACTAGTGCAGTTTTCCAGGAAGAGGGGAATATGGAATTTTGCAATGAAAAGTTGTAGATACGGTAAAGTACAGCAATAAGAGTAGGAAGGTTGGATTTTATAAGTTTTACTGGAATATTGTCAGGACCATAATCATTGGTGTGGGATTTTAGGATAGTGGAAAGTACTTTGTCGTAGGACACATACTATGTCGTAGGGCAAAAAAGAAGTTTTCAGGATTGAAATTGTGGTGTTCAATATCATAAGTAGAAGGATTGGAAACAAAAGATAAGAAATGGTCATTAAGATCATTTGGAGTCACAGGGAGGGAAATGAAATTATTGGATTTTGGTAGAGATAGGTTACGTATAGTGTTGCCCAAAAATTGTCTTGGTCTTGGTCTTACACTTTTGCAAAACCAAGACCAAGCCCGCTTTGATTGTTGCAAGACCAAGACCAAAACCGGACCCTGCAAGTCTTGCACAAGACCAAGACTGACCTGCAAGAGTCTTGCGTCTCGCAGTTAAATAAAACTGAGATTTGTGCGTTATTGGGTATTTGGTTTCCATCTAACTATAAAATTAGTCGTTGTAACACTGAAATCTATTGTATTGATTATTATAATGTGATGTTAATACGGTGTTTCAACATTTTAACCTTACATTAAATCTTAACAGTTTTTTTTTCTTTTAAATCGTGAATTTGAGCTCAGACCTCCAAAACTTGAACATATGACAATAATGGAGTAGGATAAGATAACAAAAAGAAATTGGTTTTGGTGTATGAAAATGAGGGAAAAATAGTTTAAAGGACAACGTTAGTTAATACATGTAATTTATTTATTTTATTTTTTTATTTATTTATTTAGATATATAATATTCTGTCTCGTGGACAATGATTATAGTGATAAATGAACACATTCACACCAAATATATGTAAAGGCTAGAAAAATGCAATTTATTTTTGTATTCGGCTCTTCTTTTCTATCATCGGGATTTATAGCAATAATATCACTAGTATATAATGATAACATAACATAACAGCAAAATAAACCAAACATATGAGTCGAGAGCCTGTCGGACTCCTTTCTTGAAATTGCGATGTGCTCAGTGATGCAACTCTATTTTCAAATTATCTCCCGACCTTTCTATGAGACATTAGGTAATTTTTTGTTTGGATATTATGAGAATTATTTTATGACCTCAACAGCTAACCCTTGCGACCCATACATTATAGGTCCTTGTCTCCTTTTATATCTGTATTTATATCTTCAACAGATCTATACCGATCTTGAGTAATACATGTAAAATGCAAAATCCAATAAGATCTTTTTTGATCTATTTTTTAACTTGACACAGAAATAGATCTTTTTTTGAGATTTTGCTCAAAAACAAATTTATTTTGCAATTCAGGATAAAAAAGATCTATTCTTGTGTCTACATTCAGAATTTCATTCAGTTGATTATATAACCAATTTACACTAAACTAAATATCTAATTATATAAATTTAACGAAGGTAATAGCATCGAACCTTTCGGTTCGCTAAGTCTTTTATTTTTATTATTATTATCGTCAATTTAATGAAGACAAATTAAAATTCCCTTGAAATAGCTAGATATTCGTCAAGAAAACATTAGTAAGTAATATCCTAGATGAAAAAACAAAACATTCGTGTATTGAGCCAGAGGAAGTGGTTAATTCCCTAATTTGATTCCAAGAAAGATTTCCTGTTTACCGATGGCGTTTCATTTGATTATCTTCTTTATTGCTTTATAGTTTGCAAGAATACATAACGTGGACAATGGTCTTTGTTTACATTCTAAAATAAAGGAATAAGGTTCCTACTAATTATTAAATCTCCGACAACGTATGTTATATTATATCCCCATCGGTCGCTGTTGACTTATTTGATAATTTTACGACAAATTATATCCTTATATTATATATCCTTCTTATTATAAGTATATAATTATAAGTCTTATAGTTGATAAATATTCAGGACACAGTCATTAAAAACTGTTTTTTTTATATGTGCCGACATTTCAACCCAAACATGTGGGTCATCATTAGGGCGTGGTTCGAGCACTGGAGGCTTTTAAGTACTCTGGAGTACTTGATGATGACCCACATTCTGATTATTCCTACCTAACAAACCTCTTTAATTCTCTCAGCCTTTACATAGTACCCTACAATCCAACCCATCATACTCAGTATTCAGAGTCCTGGCTCGATCTAATTATCCTGGATTCCTCAGACAAACTCCTTGCCGCATCTCAGCACTCGGTTCCATTTCTATCTTCCCACGATCTTGTCCAGATCTCTTACAATGTCTCTGTTCCATCCTTTTCTCCCCGAACAATATCCTTCCGAAACCTAGATTATCTCACTCACGAAACATTGTCAGAAGATCTTGACAATATCCAGTGGGATCCCATCTACTCCTCAAAATCCATAGACACCATGGTAGAAATCCTTACCACTCAACTTCACTCTATCCTCGACCGACATGCTCCTCTTATCACAAAAACCATCCGATATCCTCCAGCTCCTTGGCTTACTCCTGCTTTGAGAGAGTGTATGAGAGAAAGAGATGCTGCAAGGCGACGGTTTAAACGAACTCGACTTCCTGATGATTTTCTCTCCTACAAACAGCTTCGAAATAGCACTCAATCAGCAGTACGCCGTGCTAAATCCCGTTACTACCATCATTCCCTATCCAACTCTCCCAATACCAAGGCTACGTGGGCAATTCTTAGAAAACTGACCATTGGTAATGCACCCCAGTCTCAGTCCAATTCCGTTTCTGCTGATAACCTCAACGCTTACTTTGTCTCCTGTCCTCTCGCATCCACATCTCCCACGTCCAGTCTGGCTCCTATGTTCTCTTCCTTTAATCCTGATCACTTCTTTCTTTCCCATATTACACCAGAAGAGCTCCTTAAATCCATTCAGAAGTCCCATACCAATGATTACGGTCCCGACAACATCCCAGTCAGACTGATTAAAGCCGCATTGCCATCCATTCTTCCGATCCTTTATCATATATACAATTATTCTCTTCAAAATGCTACCTTCCCTACAACCTGGAAAACCGCCCTAGTACGCCCATTGAAGAAGACTTCAAACCCATCAGTTCCTAATGATTTCCGACCGATTTCCCTCCTTTCAAACCTCTCAAAACCATTAGAGCGGTTAGTCCAATCCCAGCTATCCCATTTTTTAGAGGACAATAATCTCCTAAATCCCTACCAGTCCGGTTTCAGGCCTGGTTATTCTACTCAGTCTGCCCTAATCAAAATTTCCCAAGACCTTCACACAGCCATAGATCAGCAGAAACTAACCATCCTTATTCTCCTAGACTTCTCCAAAGCTTTTGATTCAGTAGACCACAACATCCTCCTAACAAAACTTAAAAATATCTCTTTTTCTTCTAGTTCCCTTAATTGGTTCCAATCCTTCCTAACCGGTCGCTCCCAGTACGTTGTAATTCCTAATAACCCACCATCAGAATCTCTACCTCTGACCAGAGGCGTCCCACAAGGCTCTTCCTTATCCCCCACCCTTTTCTCCATCTATATAAATGACCTCCCATCCTCTATCCTGCACTGTCATTACCACTTGTATGCCGACGAGATTCAAATTTACCTCTCCTTTAATCCGACAGATATCTCAGATGCCACTCAAAAACTTCAGGAAGATATTGACAGAATAAGTGCTAGGGCAAACCTCAATAGGCTCACTCTGAACGCCGAGAAGACAAAAGCCATCTTGATCGGATCCCCTTCACTCCTCAAATCCTCCCCGGTATCTCCCAATCTCTTCCTGAACAACTCACCTATCTTATTCTACACCACCGTTAAAAACCTAGGTGTTACTTTCGATCAATCCTTATCCTGGAAACCTCACATCTCCCAAATTTCCCGTCGCACTATCTCCACCCTAAAACAGTTCAATCGTCTACGATATCTCCTTCCATATAAGTCCCGTCAACTCCTAGTTTCCTCCCTTGTTTTCCCCCACTTCGACTATGGCTGTATGGTGTATGGTGGACTCCCGGGAG